TATATAGTGAAAACTAAACTTTAATATACAGGACTCACTCATTAAATGAACGAGAAAAAAGACTAGAAATTCTGAATATAATACACAACTTTAACCATGAAAACGTGACTCATAACTTTGACCCTATTAATGTGAACTTTATACTTTATGAACATTTTGACAATATATACTGAATCAAATGCAGTGTATCTCACAATTGATTGATCACTGGGTGGTGATCAATGTCAAGTGTGTCAAGTCCTTATTAGTGCAGATCGAATGCTATCGACCATGTTGCAATGTGGCCACCAGTCTAGGTGACTCGACACTGCGTGCACTATATATTGAGATTATATGGTGGTTGGAGGTAGTCGACAGGACAGGTAACGTCTCTGGCTGTGAAGCTGGGTGACACGGGATCGAATCCGCCAGGGAGCACTAGTTCCCTCAAGATTACAGGTACACCTTGCTGACGAGTGCCAAGTAGCACGAAACACAGGTCCAGGGTTTCCTGTTGACTACCTCCAACCACCATCTAATCTCAGTGTATCTCAATTCATACCTCATTATAAAGTGATATGCTAATAGTGGATAGTATGATAAAAAACACACTTCAGTAATTAGAATTAGTTATATACTACATCAAAGAATATTTTATAGATGTAGTGATAATTTTAAGAATTTAAAGAAAAGAATTTTCACTTTAATTTCATTAAATTACAGTAGGGATCTAAAGAAAATACATAAACATACCTCTGTTTCAACTACATTGTACAAACTTAGTTTGATTTCATTTCCATTGTAGACATTAATGTCAATTGAGAAGTAATTTTTAAAAAAAAATATTTTGAGGTTTAGTTGACAGTGATTAGGCACAACTTTTAATAAGAATGATGAAGACTACTTCTATATCAAACCAACAGAACAGATTGAATCAATAGATGCTTGAGGTATTATTATTATTATTATTATTATATTATTATTCTTTTTCAAGCAACTTTCACCCAATAAATCTGGTTTGTCGCCATTCATTTAAAGTATGCATATCTTTTACTCAGAAGATCTATAATTGCCAAGTCTTAATTATGCTCATAGTCTCGATGAAATCGGATAAACATGTGAAAATTTGAATGCAATAAGTGGATGATTATTATTAGCAGACAATTATTATTTATCAACTGATTAAATTAACATACTTTATATTTTGATGGAGTTTTGTTCTCTGAGCTGGATAGTTTGGTCGTGGAGCTTTCATCGTTCTTCTGAACGACATCATCAGCACATACTTCGGATAGAAATCTATCTGAAGTATCTGAAGTATGTGCTGATAATGTCGTTCAGAAGAACGGTGAAAGCTCCACGACCAAACCATCCAGCTCAGAGAACAGAACTCCATCAAAAACTCTTCTAGTAATCCTGGCATTAACAAAGTGGCAGCAAATTTGTTAGGCAAAAGTCTAAACGACCATGAAATGTCTTTGTTTTCAAATGGTCTTAATTTTAATAATAATAAACTACTTTTGTCTCCTTTCAAAATTATATCTCTAGCTGAACCTGGTTTGAAGTACCTTTCAATGAAGGATCGAATAATGTAAGGAACAAAATTTCAGCTACATTATTACATTACATCTCTAACTTAATTAAAAATGAAGTATACTACTTAAGACAGTTTCATACAGATGAAACAATTGCCGTTGCATTAGGACAAAAGAAATATCATAATTATTGTTAATGAAACATAATATGATAAAAAAAGCCAATGAACATCTCAAAAATGACCAGAACGAGGAAATTACAGAATCCGAACAACATGCTACATTCAACAAACTAAAGCCGCGAACGAACAAGCTTTTACAAGCGATAGGTATGAAACTGGGACCTTTATTATGGCTCAATTTATGACCAAAAGTAGCAATCCTTATAGATTCTATGGACTAGTAATGACCCACAAAAATAAGATAGGATTAAGGTCAGAGGCAGGCTCTACAAACCCACCAACATATAATGTCATAAAATATCCAGCTAGGATCCTCAGACTATATGACAGCACAGTAAAAGCGTAGGACTCAATTCAGTGATAGGATCAAAGCAAATCATATTAGAGTACCTCAAGGTTATTAGGAGCTCGAAATTATGTTTATATTGCACCTTATTCGTTCTACGGCAAAATCTATATCGGTAGGAAGAAGTAATAGCTGTAGATATTCAGTTTCACCGATTGTAGAGAATTTATTCATAGATTCTTTAGAAACCAGTATAACCAACAATCTACCAAAAATCTGGTTACGGTATGTAGATGAAATGTTTGCTGGTTTAGAACTATTTGAACAAGTAAACAATATATCAGAGCCCATTAATTTTGTCAAAGAGATCTATTTTTTTAATCATAAACTAACATTTTTCAATTGTTTGATCGGACGAAGACAAAACAACAATATCAAAGTTAGTTTTTCCCGAAAATGAACAGATTCTGAGTGATATCTGAATTTCAAGTTGGGACATGGTCTCTCAGTAAAGGTCACTTTTATAATCAGAGATAGATGGTGGTTAGCAGTGGATTCCAGGACGCGCATTTCGTCATATTTGGGACTCTTCAGCCAGATGTACATGCATTCAAGTTGATGTCCATTCCGGAACTCTAACCCAATATCACTCGCTACAAACTTCACCACGTTATCCACTTAACTACTGAGTCTATGTAACCAGCGGTTTCTGCAATGGGGTGAAGTTCTATTCATTTGTACTAGTTTTTTGAATTTCCCGATTGGTGTTTAGAAATGCAGTTGGTCAGTCTCTTTTTTGATATTTGCTGCTAAATTACAAGCATAATAAAAGCGAAGATGGATGATAGCTAACAGAAGAATTCAAGTAACTGTTGTTAGAAATTTGATAACCAGGAGTAACTATCTAGTTATAGGGATAGGAAACAAACAGATATAATTATGTTCAATCTCATGTTCATCTAGAATAACTAATTGCCCTCAAGTTTTTGAAAAAGACTATGAAAAATGGAAAATAAAAGCAATATTCATGAAGATTGGAAAAGAACTAATCGTTCCTTACCATAAAAAAAAGCATAAAACCATAAGGTTACTAAACAAACACGGTAGAAAAATTTATTTTCGTGCTATTGATACCATTTAGTCGGTATTAATGAGACTTAAAAATATGATCTCGAAGAGGAATACGACTTGTGATACGATCTCAACGACAAAGAACGTTTAATTACTTATTCAACTATTATGGTTGCATTCAGCGCCAGGTACTTTCAATTAACATCACAATACAAATATCCGACTATTCTCAATCAACAGATATATCGACCGTTTTAATTTACTAATATCTTGCAGCACTTAATATAGTTACACGTCTACCTGACTTACCATAACCTTTAGATAGATGATTTATTCTAATCTTTACTCAGTCATCCATATATTTGAGCCTGTTAGTTATCGACATGCAGTCTAGGGTATGCTTTCTACATGTGTATGATGGTGTATGTGTCTACCCATTTCTTGCAGTTCTTGCATGACCGAGTTGCTTTGTTATCATCTGAATCAGTGGATTACCGAACTCAGATACTTCATACAATTGCCGCGTCTCTTATTTGTTTATCTATCGTTTAACTTTAGCAATTCCAAAATATGTGTACCTTAAATATAATTCATATTCGACTTTCGACATACAGTTGTTCTAAACGCGTCAAGTCGACAGAACATACCTATAGTTAAGTTTTGATATGTATATGATAAGCATCGATCACTTACAGTGGAATCGGACAATCGGTACTAAAATGTACCCCTAGTTTGATAATCTAAAAAAGATCAATATGTTACTAGTCGTAGCCAAGGTCTGTATTTGTTCACTGAATTTGTAGCAACCATGACACTCATACATCGCATTTTGAACACATTTCATATTAGATGAGTCACATCCTTACTATATACAAAATCAGCGTTAGAACGTGAATGGGCAAGATCCTAGTGTCGACTTCGTATTTATTCTTGATAATTCCAATTCTGATTATTTTCTTAGAGCTCGAGCCAAGCCGTCGGTCAAAAAGGTGACATTATTTAAATGTTAATCAAAGAGATTATTTCATGTTTAACCTGTACATAGGATGCCTCCTACATACTCAGTGTACAATTTCAGTCAAACTGTTTATTCACATTTTTACAGATATTCACTCGTTTTTCCTAATGGTTTTATATAAAAGGTGACTTATTCAACAGAGATTGGTACGATAACAACATAGATGTTCAATACCTTAACTTGACAGTTTAAAATAGTCTTAGAATAGCATCCAGTTTTCATACTTTTGGTATTTTTCTTATGCGTAGAAATAACGTAAAGTATAGGAATTCTCATAAAAAACTAATTTGTAAGCTACAATATAATATTCAATATAGAAGTCCTAAGTTCGATCTTAGTGGATAAGTGATCTTTTATTTTCTTGATTCAAACTCCTCACTCATAAACACTCACATACATGTGGATTATTATTCTAGATACATTTTTCATACTATGGAAACAAACCCAGTATATGGAAAGTTTTATTTTGTTCAATAAAAGCGATTACGTAACCATGAAAAATTATATAAAACAGGGAAATGATAAACTTTTGTCGACAGATTATTATACTAATGATGAAGAAATATCAAAGTGAACTGGGTTTGAAGAGAAGAGAACAAAAGATTCGTAAGACACGAAAATATCAATGAAAAGGTTATATTTATGAAACAGTGAAACAGAAAAAGTGGAGTAGTACACATTCATAAAGAGAAAAAAGAAGTTTTTGCACTTTAAGATAAATGACTAAAAGTTATAAATCTAATAGATATACATTTAGGTATACAATCGGTTACAACTTACTACTACTACTACCAGCAATAATAATAATGATAATAAAGAAGCAAATCTTGTCAAAACTATTTCATGATTCAATTATCATTGTTAGCTATAATGAGAAGGGTAGAATATAGATAGGTATATATCTGCTCATTTTCTTTTAACTTTAGAAATTAGATTGGAGTTTGGGTATTTTTAGCCAAAACCTCTTCTTGGAAATGTTTTTTACAATACAGAATTCGATCACTTTGATTATAATTGTTTAAACTGAAAATTAAGAGAGAAAAAGAATGATAGAAAAGTAACGGTTTGAACTGAATGGATTAGAAATTCATAAAAGATTTCTATAAAAAAAGATTTACGTACCAATTTCATTTTGATAGAGAACTTTCTATCAGTGTATGTAGTACAAAATAAAATAAACATTTATTGATAATATATATGATTTTCTTGAAGTTTTATTTTAATGTAATTAACGAATGTCACGAAGAGCAAAATCTGGGACTACGTTTATCCGATGATTAGCAGAAACTGATCGAAAAAAAGGTATTTATATACTATGCACAGCGGAAAAAAGGACCTATTTAATTGTCACTAAATAACTTTAGTTAGTGGTGTTACTGAAAACCAGAAAGTACCGGATATATATCGTCCTAGTATATGACTCTTTAGCAGAATTTACCCACGACCCCAACATCAATCTAATTATTAGTCTGTATGACCTGTTATAATATGAGGAGCAAATATGTGCAAAGAAAAGATCTGCCAAATGAATATGAACTAAAGATATACTTGGAAATGAGCTAAATACAAACCGACGAACATTCCTGGGGAATGACTTACCGCTCAGGCAGGTTCATTATTAGTAATCTAAAACCCAAACGTCAATATAAAGGTATTTCCACAGTTCCGATAAGTTTTATTCTTGACCACTGAATTCAAGAGAAGTAATGAGTAACAGATTACTTGGATCCATGAGAAAGATGCTTTATTCAACAGAGCTATGAATTGTTTTCTCCAGCAAGTAAAAAGAACTGGCTCAAAAAAGTTTTGACGAGGAATTTGTGGACAGTCGAAGCTATAGCAATACATTAATTCAAATTTATACTAAATATTAGGAACATAGTTCAGATAGAGACGACTGCGTACACGGATAACTAGAGCGTAGATTGACCTCTTTCTAGATCAGGATACGACCGTCACATTGTACATAATAACTCTAAGGTAATGTGGGCACGCTTAATAAACTATTTGTGTCTGTACAAGGGTCCCAGAGGTAGCGTGCTATATAGTTATATTGATGAATCCGTATATTGTGGTTTTCTTAAATTATAGACACAAAGATTAATAGAAAACCCCAGTAGATTCATTAACCATGCAAAATATTTATATCCTTACAAATATTGTTCTCTTAGATAAACTATTCACCTACAATAACTTTTCTGATTACAATCACCTGACGAGTCCTATCTAAGACAAAAAATACGTCCTGTTAACTATTATCTATCTCTTACTATGATGTTTTCTAATTGGTTAACAGGGGGCTAGGAAATGTCGATCATTCTAAGAATCGCTCAAGCCTGTCCCAATCCTTTATAATCTTAGCGTCTCTGAAACGAAAGATCGTTATTTGCCATATTCAATGACATAACACCTCTAACTAAAAAATTAAAAGTAAGATTATTTGGTATTAAAAACCAACTTTATAATTAATTCTTAACCATTTTTGAATGGTTATAATTTGATGGAAATTATGGTTACAGTTGAACAGGTAAAAAATCGAAAATTTCTGATTATTTTTCCAATTTAATCAAGTATATCTTTACTGTCTAAATCTTGTCATTAGAAAAAAGTGGACATACAACAGTTTATAATTTTCTAATCTATCGATTATTGTTAGTTAGGTGCTGTGTAATGGATCAAATTGAATCTCATTGGGTGATAATATGATATATTATCATGCAGGATGATTATAATCTTAATGACTTCAGATATTTTTTTGAATTAACATACATTTATATGGTGTGTAGGGACTTGTCTTGTGAATTGTATAGCTTTCTAGTATCCTATTCTAAATTGATGTGGTATCAAATAGATCTGGACCATTTACATGACACGTTCTTGTTTGTCTAGTTTGTCATGTGTAAATTATGAAAAGATGGTTATAACAAACTATAAAGAAAAAATTGTTGCTGATGCTAGTAAGGTGGGATTTTTAAAAGCCACATAGTTTAAAAGAAGGATGAGAAGAAACGTAACAACTTTCTGAAACTGAGATTTATAAGCGATATCTTGTCGGGTAGACCATCTTTAGTGAAGCACTATGTCTAAACCACCTAAGAAAACCGATTTAATGTCGATAAAATTTCACTGAGCTGAATTCTAGTTAAATTCCGAAACGAAATAAGTGTGTAGTACTTAAATGTTAAGAAACGAAATAAAACAAAGAAAATTCACTCAAACACACGTCAACAGATCCTCCAACGATCTAACAGTGAACAATAATTTCCGATATTTTAAACACTTATCGTTCACTAAGGAAAATGGAAAAGTAGTTTCATAGTAATCTGGAACTTTTTGATCAGCCATCTGCTTCGAGAATTAAGATCAACAATATCTTTGTTTTTCGTGAAAGCTATCTTACGATTATATATCACTTAGCTGTAATTCAATAGTTGGAATGTTCAACTTCGTTTAATTCATGGGATATCGTGAATTACATTTTATTGTCCTCTTAAATACATCTATCCCAAAAAAAACAGTTGCTCTAAAACGTATTTCTCCGTCATAACACAGGATAGATGCTCATTAAACTTGAATGTTCTAGAACGTGACAAAATACATACATGATGCCCCTTGATCTTTACATGCGGCGGATTATTTTCTGGTTTATCAAAACTACGAAATTCAATAAAGGGATTTCACAAATTGTCGAAATATCTTGGGCTTTATTATACAGTTCGTGAATGTAGCCTACAAAAGGTAATTCTGGTATATAAAAACAATAAATCTGCTGCATAGTTCAATGTTTATCACAGTATAGTTAATAATAAAATGAATATAATTGTTTTTGAACAATTACTTGTTATTACCAATGATGTAAATATTTCTTTGTGTAACACCAAAAGCCTGGAGTGAACACAATTGTTTATAAACATCTGAAGAGGTTACCCAATAACAACACTAATTAATCAGTTCAGAAATCCGTCAATCAAGCTAACTTGAAAAACAGTATTAGCACGGTCTGATAAAAATTATATGAAAAGTAATACAACTTCAAATATGATGCAATTAAGAAGCTAGTAGGGAGATATAGTACACTAGAGCAATCAGTCACGAACACAGAAGGCGAATCAATCACTGACAATTGCGAGCAGCAAAACGGGGAGTAAAATAATTTGAAGAAACCTTACGTAGACCAGTACCAATGAACACACCGGACATCGAAACAGCACACAGAGATCTCTTTGCAGATAATACCCCACAAAAAATAGAAGTTAGCAAGGCTATTAGACGAATTAGGAATATAAAACTAGCTGAAACACTAATGTTATATATTAAACCAACTATAAAGATACTCCGCGTTCTTTTCAGAGAGATTTATGAGGGATAACAAGTACCAACAGATTGGTAAGGTGAACGCCTCATAGGTATACAAAAAAGAGGTGTGAGAACTACGGGGACATCACACTAATATCAGCACAAAAAGTTTTCAAAAGATTGTCAAACCCAATGAAGGACTAAGTAGATGCACACCCCCGAGGTCGACCAGCCGGCTTTCGTAAGGATCGATTATGCACTAAACGAATAGTGACACTATAGACCATTGTTAAACAATCAACTGAATGGAACTCATCACCATATATCAACTTTCTTAATGAGAAAGCATTCGACAGTTTGGAACGGAAAGCCTCGTGGAATCTTCCTCGACACTATAGGATACTTGAGATGATGGTTAACATCATACAAAACTCCTACAAACGATTGGACTTCAAAGTTGTATATATAAGCAAGCTCATAGATGGATTCTAAGTGAGGACTGGTGTCAGACAAGGCTGTCTACTGTTATCTTTATCTTTTCTTTCAATTGTTAACTCGATTATGGAGACCTCCACATATCAGAAGAAGCACAGAATACAGAGAACACTTGGGACAAAGCTCTTCAGATCATAGAGTTTCTAACGCTATACACAGTAACAAATTCAGATGAAGACTGTCTGTACGTAGGTAAATATATCGTAAGCTTTCATTTATCTTATTAACTATTGATAAATAATTTACTATTAGTAAATTACAGTGTATTACTGTCACTCAGTTTGTACTACGGATGACCTAGTTATGTACAGATTGTAATTGATCCAAAATGGTCATATATATAATAGATAGAATTGTTTGTCAGTCACAGTATGTATAAGCTAAATCGGGCTAACTTTCTTCGTGTTCTGGTTAAGCAGGTTGGGTACTGAAAGATCAGTGTGAGACAATCAACGTTGTAGGTAACTGTATCATTAGTATAAAACGGGATCATCACTAGTATGCACACAAAAGGAAAATTTTAACGGATTAGAAAGTCAAAACACTCCCTAACTCTACCAAAAATTTCAATAGTGTGTATATCGACAACTTCCAAAGTGAAATTGAAATAGAAATGGTTCATATTCTTAATTTCTAGTTTTCTCATCATTATCAATTACCATTCATAAACTATCTCAAGCAGACATTTAATTCATTTAATCATTCTTATTTTGTGAAACAAATTAGAAAACTAATAATATTCAAACTAATATTTTTTTAAAATGTAAACTAAATAGAAAATATTCATCGAGAGTACTGCACTGGAAAAAAAATGAAAATCTATTAGAATCTCTGGAGTAAAATAAAGAAGACGTTCATAACATGTGAATAATTAGTAATCAACCAATATGAGATGCCTCGATAAAATGAATCAGATATCGTTTAGTGTAAATTATTAGTTTATATTATCAAGTCATGGGTAAAAACGTCATCAGAATTATGTAAATTAAACTTTATTGTGTAAAAGATCCGTACAATGATACGAACTAATTCTTTCTTCCTGTACTATATCCTTATTGCAATCTTTCTTTTTTATATTACCACCTCTGAATTAACTACTTTTATGAATCCGGTGTTCATCTTGGTGTGTTAATAAGGTATGGCAACTTGGACCGATGCATATATGTGCCTGGTCCTACGTTGTAGCTGACTGACTGACTGACTGTGTAAAAGATCTGATTTCAAAAAAATTA